TCCATCACTTCAGCTCTGTGCCTCAGCTTCCCCATCTGTAAAATGGGGGAGAGCCAATAGCTGCCTCTCTGGTTACTGTGAGGACTAAATGAGATAGATGTGCGTGTGCAGGGTTTAGAGTCTGACTGGTGTGCGCAGACGTTCAGTCAGTGAGGACTCCATTATCATCATTGCTCCTCTTTGGAGAAATCACTGAGGGCCTCTTCCCCACAATCCCAGTATCTCTAGAATGGACACAGTGGGAGAAGACACACAGTATGGGGCCCCGCACCCCCCCCAGCCCTGGATAGTTAGCGCCTCCTCCCTGTGTTCCTGCCCCGTCACGCGAACTCCCCTTCCCTGGCATCTTGGTGTCTGTCTCCTCAGCCATGTGTAGCTGTTGATACACCTTTATCCGAGTAAGCTGTAGATCACAGCCAGTTCTGACTACATATAAAGTGGCCTAGAAGAAGCAAAGCATCCTTTTAGGGATTGGAGCATTTTACTTTAGCAACATCCAAAAATACACATGCTCCCAGCTCACGGTGCCTGGTAGCTGCAGAACAGCATCTCGGCCAAAGAGCAGGGGCTTCAATGGCCCGTGGACCCAATCCCTTTCTGTGGGCTGTGTGACCTTAAGAAAGTTACTCAACCTTTCTGAGGCTCAGTGTCCCACCTGTTAATTGGGGATTCCAATACAAGCTTAAGCCTTATGAGGATTAAATAAGATGATACAGTGTGTGGGAAGTACCAAGCATGGTGCGGGACACGCAACAGGTGTTCAGAAGTGTCAGCAGCTCATGCTGGTGTATGGAGCGGGGTGGAACCTCAGGGAAGAGCTAGTATTTTGAGGTACAGTTTCCTCTTGGTCACGGGCACCTTCGTAGAAGAGGCCCAGGAAGAATGCCCAGAACAGAGGCAACGCTTGTTTCCTCATGTCCTTGCTGCAGCTGGTGCGAGGGGACAGGGAGACACAGGAGTGGGACCGGGGCTGTCACCATTTACCTTGTTGGTAAAACGGGCCCTGCATTTGGAGAAATTGGGAGAGTTTCCCTCATCATTTAAAGCAGCACCTACGTCTGCTGGGTACAGTGATGAGAAGATTCATTTCCCAACCCACCATGCAGCCGGACACCTGTGCCCACTGGCTCTACCTTCAGGCGTGGGTGATGCTATCTCCACACCTGGCTGATAATGAGCCAAGAAGGTGAGGCACTCGTGTGCTGCTGAGGCAGATGCAGGGAAGGGCATGTTCAAGATGACCCCAGGGGGCTGGCACCTTGCATCAGGTTCTGTGAGCTGAACAGGGCAGGCATGCGCACACACACATCCAACCCTTGATTTTCATTCCGGGCACCTGCAGCCTTGCCAAGGCTGGCTCTCCAGTAGCACTTCTGCCTTGGATCACGGGGTGATCAGTGTGTCCCAAACCATTGCTCAGCCACTACACTGGACAGTCCAGATCCCCACAGCAGTGTGGACCCCATACCCTCCGACCCTCCCCTAGGAGGACTGATGTCCCCGACACTCCCAAGTCCTGCCCTTGTCTTCCCAGGTGAGAGGCCACATGGCAGAGAGGAAGAAGGTGGCAGTGGTTGGTTAGCCAGCTGGTCTGTGACTTATCAGAGAGAACACAGTGACCACTGGCAGAGTAGGCACTGGTTCACATCAAGTCCAAACCAAAGCCCCGGCCGTTGGCTCAGGAGTGGTAGCATGGAGGACTGTGGTCACACCAGACGAGTGGTGGCCCAAAGCTCCATTTCATGACCAGTATAATCACTGCGTGGAGTGCTATGTCAAAAAGAATGCTGAGGCTGCCTCCTGGGCCAAACAGGAAAGGGAACCATCATCAATTTGTAATGCCTGCCATTGGCTTGGTCTTAGGAGGGTGGTGCAGGCATGCTACACAGTCACCAGCCAAGGGCCAGGTGTCTCCTAAGCTGAGGTCAGGCTGGACAATTTAAACTGCTCCCTTTTGCCAGGGAGAAGGAGAGGGAGGAGAGCCTCACTTCACCACCTGTCATCTGTGGGTCTTGAAGTAAAATGGAAAACTTCAGCTGACAACCAAGTAAATAAAAATGAGAAGCCAGCACTTAAAAACTCAAGCAGTTACAACCCATCAAAAAGCAGGGAAGGAACCAAATTTTATGCCTCATTGAAAATGGGGTAGTAAAGCCTTCAACTATTGTTGCTGTATTTTCTATATTCTCTCTTCAACTTGTGAGCCTGAACTTTATGTATTTCGGGGACTCTGTTATTAGGCGCATATAAGTTTATAATTGTTATAACTTGTTGATAGGTTGACCCTTTTATCGTTATAAAATGTCCCTCTTCTCTCTAATGACATTTCTGGTTTAAAGTTCTTTTTTCTAATATTAGTATAGCCATTCCAGCTTTCTTACAGTTGCTATTTGCATGGTATATCTTTTTCCATCCTTTTATTTTCAACCTATTTTTGTGTCTTTGGTTCCTAAGTATAAGGTTCCTATAGATAGTATACAGTTGGATCTTGTTTTTTTATCCAGTTTGGGAATTTCTGCCTTTTGAATGGATTGACTTCAATTCACATTTAATGATATTATTGATATATTAGGATTTACATTTGCCATTTTACTTTTTGTCTTCTGTGTGTCTCTTATCTTTTTTGTTCCTCTATTTTTCCTTTTTGCTCTAAGTAAATATTTTCTACTGTAATATTTTAATGATTTTTTACTGTATTTATTTCCTTAGTTATTGCTCTAGGGCCTAGTGTATACATATAAATGTATCACAATCTACTTCATACTTACACTAAGTTAACTCCCATGAAAAATTACTCCAGTTCCTCAGCTACGACTCTATTCCCTCTTCCCCCTTTTTGTGCTGTTATTGTTTTACATTAGAGACCTTCTTTTCCAGCTCCTCGGGATTTCATGGAGAGACCATGGCCCAGAGAGAGCCTGCGTAGCCATGTTCTAGCTTGGCATTTAATAGCTTCGAACCCCAATGTCCTCACCTATAATGGGGAGAATTGTAGGAACACAGGATTGAAGGATGCAGTAAGCTCTAAGCACAGAGCCTGCACATAGTAGGGGCTCTGAAAACATTGGTTTGTGTTTGGCTCGCAGAGAACCCCAGAAATCCATGTACCCCAGCACCCTCACAGCAGAGAGTCAGGAGGCACGTGTACCCAGCCAAAGCCATGGGGAGCTCCTCCCTCCAGCACATGCCCTGGCAGGGCAGCAGCTTACTATGAACTCCAGCAAGCAAAGGCCAGGTAGGACCCCGAGCTAGGAGGACAAATTGGCCCAGGGAGCAGGACCTGCAGGCCAGCCACTCCTGAGGAAAGTCAGTGTGCTGCAAGAGCCACCTGCACGGGCCAGAACTGCTGGCAGGGTGTGCTCATGGCTCAGGATAAGGCCCAAGTTCATGCTTCATCCACCTGTCCCTGCTACAGTCCGAGTGTGCAGCAGGCTTCTGGAGGAAGTGATAGGAAGGGATGGAAAGGGAGAGGTGGCAACAGCTGGTTGTCTAGCTTCTGATTAGCAGAAGTCCAGGCCCTCATCTGGGAAAAAAGCGACCTCCTCCAGATACCCAGGCAGGTGACCATCCAAATTCTGCTTGATTACCACCTAAGACAGAAGCCTCATCCCCCTGAGGGAGAGCAGGCCTCCCTGCCATTTCTCTACCTGGCCTCGAGTCTGGAGCCACTCACTCAGTAGAGGACTTGGGCAGCCTTGGTGTGCCGTGGCCAGTGTGGAGTTTGAGGATGCAGAAAGCAGTCACACACAGGCCCTGGAAACCACTCATGATCACACACAACAGGGACCTGCACACGGGCTCTTGGAGGACAGACGGGGGACCCCTTTCAGAACAGGGCCCAGGAGTGCCTGCCCCCAATTCTGTGGCTCACTGAGTGTCTGATGCTGGCTCTCTATGGCCAGATTGGGCTAGCAGCCACAAGAAGGGTTCATGCCTAGGGCAGTGAGTGAGCACTGGACTCGGAGGCCTGGGCCTGAGTTCTGGCTTGACTCAGCCAGGAGTACCTGGGTGACTGGGGGCTGGTCATTTACCAGCAAGCCTCAGTCTACACATCTGTGAAAGGGGAAACCTCACCCCTGCCCAGCTGAACCACAGAGAATTAAGTGGCAATCCAAGGCACTCACTGCCAAGGGGCTGGCCATCCCTGAGCAAGGCAGCGGGGGCCCCTGGCTGCCTCTAATCCCCACCCCAGACCTGAGCACCCCACCAGCTTGTCCTGTGGGATCACAGGAGCTTCCTTCTCTGGCTCTCAGACACCCAGCTGTTCGTCCTAGAGGGGGACCTTGCATCTCCCCATGTTCCTGCCATTCCACACCCCTTCCTAGAAGTCCCCTCCCACCTCTGTGCCTTTGTCCCCATCTTCCTCTGCCCAGCATGCCTCCCAGCCTCACTTCCTCTGGGAAGCCTTCCCTGACCTGATCCAACCCCCCACCACTGAATGTCTGGGTCAGCTGATGCCCACAGCCCAGACCTGCCTGATTTCCCTGGAGTAGTTCCCTGGGTCGGTTTCATGCCTGAGGCAGAAGACCACTGTTGGAGGCCAGCAAAGTTGGTCCTCATACCTCAGCCTCCTGTGCATCCCCCCACCTTCCCAAGACCTTGCTGAAGCCATGCTGACCTTTTAACTTTGTGTCTTGGTGAGTGGAGTCCTTGTCTAGCACTGAGTCGTGGGTTTTCCTATTCGCTGTGTGACCTTGGGCAAGTCCGTTGCCCTCTCTGAGCCGAGAGTTAGTTGAGCTCCCAGGCCAGAGGAGAGAAGGAGAGGAGGGGAAGTCAGATCCTGCTGCCAAAGGCTCCTGCAGGCAGTGGGGTGAGGTGTTGTGTCCCCGCTCCCTGGCAGGAGCAGCCGAGAGGGAGCCCCTGGTCCTGACCCCAGAGTGGGCTCCCCTGAGTTAGGGATGGACGACTCGCAGGGCAGCAGGGACCACGGAGAAAGGTGCGTGGCGGGCGCTGTGCCACGGTTCGGCACCCTCAGTGTCCTCTCTCTTTGCTCCCGATAGACCGCTACAACCGCACCGGCCACTCCCACCTCACCTCCCTGGACAGCTCGGACTACAGCAGCGTGCTTGTGTCTCCCGTGCTGGTGGCCAGCGCGGTCATAGGCATGGTCGTCGCCATCTCCTGCGTCACCATCATCGTGGGCAGCCTCCGCCGGGACAGTCAGGGCGGGTCCCAGCAGTCCCGCCGCCGCCGCCGAGAGTTCGAGGACAGCCAAGGTGAGTGGCTGTCCGTCCCAGGGCCGGCGCTCCTGTCCAGTTGTGACTGTGACCCTGGAGGCATCAAGGAGGTGGCTGCTCTGCCATGGGAGGGGGAGGGTGGTCGGAGAAGGCATTCTCGCAGGCATAGGTGGTCCAGAAGGGCTCACAGGTGCCCACCACAGTGCACTCGGGGGTAGGAGAAGCCCTGTTGTCTGCCAAGGGCAGGGCTGAAGGTCACGGGGAAGACAGGTGGTTACTCCACAGCCCCGGATACCGTTGGTCCAGGCTGTGCTGATAGCTCACCCAGACGATGCCTGGGTGGAGGGATGGGTGGAGAAAGGCGTCGGGGTGGGACAGGGAGATAACTTGGGGGGGCGGTGAGGAGATGAATGGGGGCAGAGAGTGGGACGGGTGAGTGGATGGACCAGCGGATGGATGGAGAGAGGGCCGAGTGGTGGGACGAAGGATGGGTAGCTAAATGGGCGGATGGAAGGACAGGTGAATGGAGAGGTGGACAGGCGGTTGCATGGGCTTTGACGTGTGCGCGTTGGGTGGGGTGTATAGGTGGGTGGGTGGATGGGAGGGACGGGTGGACAGGTGGAAAGATGGGCAGGTAGGGGGTGGATAGGTGGGGTGTCGGAGCGGGTAAAGGAGTAAGTGGACGGAATGAATGAGGGGCGGATGAACCCATCTCCAGAGCCTGCGAAGTGCGAGTGGGCCCGACCTGAGACAGTCCCAGTTCCTGGAAGCACCCTCACAACAGAGTTGGTGGCCAGCTCTTGGGCTGGCCGGTCCCGGAAGTGTGCGTCTGCTCAGTGTGCCCCAACTTTCTACAGGATGCAGCCGCCCGGCTGGTTCATCCCTGGAAGGGGCCAGTTATGTAAAAGCTCAGATGCCCTCCGATGGCAGGGAAGAGCCTGTCCTGAGGCCAGAGGCGGCTTCTGCCCAAGGCAGGGGAAAGAAAAGCAGGTCTGTGGAGCCGCCTAACCCCAGGGGGCGCCATCCACACCACGGATTAAGTGCTTTGCAGGCTCCAGAGCCCGCAGGGCCCCAGGGTCTCCCCGTGCAGGACAGAAAGAGCACCTCCTTCTTCCCCTTTCCCACCTCTGCACCTTTGCAAATGCCCTTCCCTGTGCCTGGGAAGCCATTCCCCAAGCTTCCCCAGCAGACAGAAGCCCACCTGTTCTTCCAGGCCCAGCTCAAATGCCATCTCCTTTTGGAGTCTTCTCTTAAACCCTCCCAGGTTGGGTAGACGCCCCTCACCCTGTCCTGTCCTGGCATCACACCTCCCCCTCCCCCAACGCCCCTGGCGTGGGGTGGCTGTGTTGCCCAATGCCACCCGGGCCTTGCAGAGCTCCCCTCCAGCGGGCCCCCCCACCCACCCAGCAGGGCACAGCCCAGAGAGGGCGCTCTGTGGGTAAGGAAAGGAACCACCTCGTTCCGTCTCACAGCAAGAACTCTGTCCGCCCGATGTAAAGACGGGAAAACTGGAGCAACGTGCTGAACAGCCTGGAGGTCCCCAAGCCTGAGCCTGACACTGAGAGCATGGGGGAGGGGGCCGCAGTAGCTCCCAGCTGAAGTCTGAGAGGTCAACATTGGCCTTGAAGAGTGAGATGGGCCTGGGGGTAGGCTAATCCCTCCTGAGTCTACGGTGGGGCCCCGGGGCCATTGCCTCATGAGCAAGGCCCTCACCCCTGACCTCCAGAACAGATGGAGGGGCAGGAGGTCACAGCCAGGCCAAGCCTGGGGTCAGGTCTTTGCTACTCCATGCTGACTCTTAGCAGCCCCGCCTCCTTGTTGCCCCAGGGACCCACCTTCCTAGCCACTTCTGTCCTAGCTCAACTTTGGCACCTCCCTGGGGCCACTGTGGGGAGCCTGGGGGTGCTGATGCCCCTCACACCTTCCTCCGGTCTTCCGGGGGTGCACAGGAAGCGGGGCTGCCAGGAACCTTGCAGAGACGCCAGGGAAGAAAGGAAAAACACACTGCACGGCTGTGGGGAGAGCACCGCAGCGGCAGAGCGCCGGCAAGCGCTGGCCTACTGGCACTGGGGACCCTTGTGTCCTCAAACGCACCCTTCCCCTGGCTCCAGGGACGGGCTCTCCCAGTCTCTCTCCTACCGCTCTTTTTCATGGATCCCTGTTGTCCAAGGAAAAGAGAATCAAGGTTCCCCAGAGCCAGACCCACGGCCCCGGGTCCCCTCTGTGTGCCCACGGGCAGCCTCAGGCACCCTGTCACCCTTGCTGCAGCCTGCAGCAGCCCCCGCCTCAACTCCAGTCCCTGCCCCCGCTGTCCCCGAGACAAATCCCCCTGAGGTCCTAAAGCCGCCCCACACCCACAGTGTCCAAAAAGGACTTCACCTTCCATGCGTACTGGGAAGTTGCCTACCCTCTGTGTACCCAAAGTGAGCCCTCTATAAACCGCGTACACAGGACCCACCCCCAGAAGTTACTGTGAGGACTAAATTAGACAGCACCTGGCAAACGAGTAAGTACTCAATAAATGTTAACAATTTTCGTTACCTTCCTCCCGAGAAAACCCGCTCCCAGGCCACCTGACTGGTGCTGGCACCCCCACCTGCCAGCTGCATACCTCCAAGGTATTCTCCACAGACAACCAGAGTGACGGAGCTGAGCCCACTTCCATCCCCTGCGCAGCCCCGTCCATGGCGCCCACGCCCTCCGTACAAAGGGGCCCTCTCTGCTTGCCCACGGGGCCCTTCCTCAGTCTGGCCAGCACAGAGAGCGAGGCCGATAAATGTTCCAGTGTGAATGAATGAATGAATGAATGAAACTATGTTTCCAGAAGATGGGAAGAACTTGAGCGTTAGGAGACAGACCTGGTTGCTGGCCCTGTGTCCTCTCACATGCTGGGGGTTTAGAACAAGTGACTGCCCTGTCCCCCTCCTCCCCTGAAAGCAGGGGGCAGTCACAGTGCCTCTCTCACACGATCCCAAGGCAAGAGCCCAGGAAGTGCTCACGGAAGCAAAGTCCTCCTCCCCGTCTCCTGGGCCTGCCAAGGGTTGTTAACCTTGGATTTGGGTTATGAACTGAGGGCTTTAGTATTGGTGACGGACGGGTTGGGGAGAGCTCACCTCCCACGAGGTGGGCAGAGAACTTCCAGGGCCCTGGACCGTTTGGGTCCGTGCTGACCCGGAAGTCAGGCAAGGAGAGGGGATAAAAAAAACAATCTGGGGAGATCCAGTGGGGAAGGCAGGGGGGTTCCTTTCCAGTGGTCCTCAGGAGCTCTGCCTAGTTGGATGCTTGGGACTGAGTCAGGTCATCTCAGGACCGGGGTCTGAGCCAAGTGAGCCCCTCAGAGCAGCCTTAGTTTCCCCAAGGTGCCCAGCCTCTGGGAGAGCCAAGAAGAGCAGTACAAGGAGAGAGATGCACAGCAGTGTGGGTGAGGTTTGGCCAGCAGCTGGGAGGGCCTCCCCTGGCAACACAGGCAGGGAGCAGACCCCTGCACCAGAGCCTAGTGGCCCTGGTTGCCCTCACCCCCATTGTTTCCTGCCTACCTCTTCCCCTGACTAATTCCTAGACAAGACTCAGCTCTGGGAGCTCCTCCTCCAGGAAGCCCTCCCTGACCTCCCACCGCCTCAGTACTATGTCTATCAAAGCTCATGACACACTGCTCAGTACTGGTGTCCCCAGAGCAGACTGCCCACCACCCTGGGAGCTTCACCAGGGCAAAGCCAGCTCTGCTCCCTCTCTGGGGCCCCACGCCCAGCTTAGTGTTGGTGCTCGCATTCTGGGGCTGCCACTGAGGGGAATCTGTGCTTGGTGAGGAGCGGGATGGTGAGATGGAGAGAAGAGAGTCTCTGGGGCCTCAGGCAAACACGTGAGGGCTCTTCCCAGCCCCAGCCTGAGGCTCAGGCCAAATGTCTGTCCCCTGCAGACTCGGAGGAGTCCTCGTACTGGAGCCGCGGGGTGCGCTACGCCTGCAGCCTTGTGGGGGACTGGCCCCCACCCACGGACCTGAGCGCTGGCGAGGAGGCGAACACCATGGTGCTCCGGGAGCTGTACACGGATTCCCCACCCCGGTGAGGAGGCCTCGTGGGGGAGACGGGCGTGAGAGGGTGGGCCCTGGGCACAAACGGACCCCCCCCGCCGTGGGAAATAGCAACACCTTTCTAAATGCTATAGAAGCAGAAAACATCTGCTCAGAGGGTGCAACCACCTCCTCACCCCTCCCGACACGGAAGAGCCCCATGAGGCAGGGTTTGGCCCAGCGGATGTCCCATGAGACGCTCAGAAAAGGAAGAAAAAAGCTCAGTTCCTGCAGGCTGGGGGGAAGGGGTGGGGTGGAGCGTCCAGGCCCCGGCTCCTTAGTACGTGCCCCCCAAAGCTCAGGTCACGTCCACTGGGACAGGGTCACTGTGTCCAAACTGCACTCAGGGCCATCAGGTGGCCGTGTCCCATTGGAGGGCTCTCCTCTGGAGGGCCCCTGGGTCCTCTCTGGCCAGCCGCCCTCAGCAGACTGCCCACCGGTCAGGACCTGAAGAGAGAAGAGGGGTCAGGGCCCCGTCACTTTCCTACCAGGAGACCCTCAGGCCCAGCAGCCGCCCAGGTCTCCCCATCAGCTGGTCGCCCTTTTCCCTCCACCCCCAGAGGTACTGGGGGGGGCAGCGCAGTTGCCCTCCCCCAGGCTACAGGATGCTCCCTAGCCCTGCACCTGTGGGTTCAGAGGGGCCCCAGGGACTCCCTGCTACACCGGGAAGGGCCACTTTGGAGCCACTTGGGACCAGGGGGTGCCTGGCAGCCTGAGGGTGCTCCCACCAGCACGACCCACACTCCGCCCAGCCTGGGGGCCGCTCCGTCCACAGCAGCTACTGCTATTCTCAGCAATCGGAGACCCAGCATGTGGCGGCTCAACTCCACACAGACCCTGCGGCCGAGTCAGGACCCGAATCTAGGTCTCAGTGGCTCTGTGGTGCCTGTCCCTGGGGAGTGGGTGGGTTCCACCAGAGCCATCGTGACCGGGGCCTGGCTAGTCCCTTGCCAGGGCAGCTTGCCACTGCGGACAGGCTCTCAGCTCTTGGGGAAAGGCCCCGCGCTGCCCCCAGGGCCAGGTCCCCCAGGCCTGAGGGAACCTCTTCTCTTGTAGTTACGAGGAGTGCATGGGGCCAGGAGCCACTCAGATGTACCTCCCCACGGACGCGCCTCCACCCTACTCGCTGACCGACGCCAACCCCGGAGGCTGCCAGCAGGGGCAGAGTGGCCCCCGCACCGTCTCCATGGATGCCCTGCCCACTTACGAGGCTGTGTGTGAGGTCCACCCTCCATCGAGCCTGCTGCCACTGCCAGGCCCGGAGCCGGGGCCAAGGAGTCCCCCGGGCTCGCCCGGGAGGGTTGTGTGAACGCCAGCAGGCCACGTCCTGCCAGTCCCTGAGGGCTGAGCAAGACCTTACAGGCACACAGGGGAGCACGTGCACGCACATGCACACACACATATACACACACATGCGCACACATGCACACACACTACTCATGCACACACCGCACTCCCACAGGCACACATGTACACACAGGTTGCACACACAGAGACACAGAAACTGACACGCCCATGTGTACATACACATCCAGACATGCCCCAGGTGTGCAGACATGTGCGCACGCAGATCCCCCCACGCACACATCTATACAAATCCATCTGTGAGGTTTCATTGAAAATGAAGCTCTGCCTACCTCCCGTCTCCTCCCCAGGCTGTGGGTTACGACTTGTAGACAGTGCTGGGAGAAGAGGCGGAGAAGGGATTCAGGCTTGCTCCCCGCTCTCCCCGGGCCTGGTGGCTCCTGCTCTCATCTGGCAGGCTGTGCTCCAACTCCAATTCTGCCTCCAGAAATGGCTTGCCCACCCCGGGCCGGCTGCCTGCCCCCAGCTTCCCAAGAGCAACGTGTTTCCACCCCCCGGTTGGTGGGATAGACGTCAGTGAGGCTCGGCCGCGTGCTGAAGCTCTGTCACGTACAGGACAGGAGAGACACATCACCACCCTGCCACTTACAGGGTGAGGGGCACGGGCCTGGGGGGCTCAGGCACAACCTGGAACCCCTCCCAGCCCGCCCTGCCCTTGCCCTAACACAGCGCCCTCAGTCTGGTGGTGCTAGCGGAGCTCTCTCCGGAGCCCCCGCCCTACACCACAGGTGATGAGCGGGGCTCCTGGTGGGCGTGCAGTGTCGGTGGCGGGCTACGGCTGTCCCCGTGGCAGTCCAGCCACCACCCAGGACTGGGGGTCTCCAAAGAAAATAAGGGCTCTGAGACAAAGAAAATAAGGGCTCCGAGGCAAAGAAAACAAGGGCTCCAAGGCAGAGGAGTGGCCCCCCACTGTGTACCTGCCACAACGGCCTGAGCTCCATGGGCTGCAGCCAGGCCCCAGAAGCTGGTACTACCCTCTTGGGCGGTGGCTCACGGCTGGACGTTGAGCGGACAGGTTTTGGCCTTACCCTCAGGGGTGTGTGCAGAGACAAAGCGAAGGCGACCCTGAGAGGACCGGTGGCTGCACCTGGGCCCTGAGCCAGGGGCACCACAGAAGACGTGCGGGGTTACCTGGCTGTAGGGAGGCTCCGAGCCTGGCCCAGGTAGCCCAGTGGGTCCCATCAAGGACCATGCAGGTAACTGGGGGGCGGCCGACAGTGTCTGAGGAGCGGCCCTGCCGGCGTCGCCAGCGGCAGGGAGCAGAGCCCTCAACCTCACTCTGCCTCCCTCCCCCGTCCTTAAACAACCCCCCTCCCGTCCTCTCCCCCTCCCCACCCTTTAAATCCTCCAACGAAGGGCTAAAACAATTCATTAATCCCTTTCTTAAGATGGGGGGGTGGCAAGAATGGGAATTGTGAATTTTATTTCGTGTAGAAATAGTATTTTTTTCCAGTGCAGAACTGAAAGGAATCCGTCAAAGGTTCGGTAGCACCTGGGGCCTCTGGCTCCACTCGGGTAGGGACCTTGTTTACAAGCAGTTCTGTCGCCTTCGTGGTGTACTGTTTTCTAGCAAAAAATACCCGTCTGTTGTACTGTACAGCTTTGGAAATGCACTCCAAGGATGAACCGCGTCCTGCTTCTGCAACCCCCAGAGTGCTGGGGGGAAAGCAAGCCCTATGTGCCCATCAGTGTTTGAGTGAACAGCTTTTCTTGTTCTTGGATCCAGCGAGGGCTAAACCAGCAACAGTGTATCTTTTCTGTGTTCAAAGTAAATATATCATATCAATAAAAAGTGTTGCAAGAAGTCATATTATCAAAGGGGGAGGGGCTCGTGCCATCTGAAACTTCTAAGGAAAAGAAACAGGAAACAGGAGCAAACTCAAAGTAGGTTACTCCTCTCAAAATTAGCAGCCACTGAGCCTGGTCATTCATTTTCCTGTTGACTGGAATATTGGGGTAGTCAGTGACTTAGTCCTGCGTCCAGCAGCCCGCCTGGGCCCACACTGCCACCTGCTGGCCGCCTGCTGCCACTGTTCAAAGCAAACGAGCCTGCACCTGAACACTGAGCAAATACCTTTCTCCCACGTTCCAACCCCACTACCCACGGTCGGTCATAATTGTGAACGAAACTTGTCTTCCACCCTTGGGATGTTCCATGGGGTTTAACCCATTCAAGGATGCCATTTTCAGCAGTAGCCCCTGTGCCCCAGCCCCTGCACCTCTCTCTGGGCCTGATACCTTCAGTTAGCGCCCTCTCTGTACGCAGTATAACCGCTCCTCTGTTCTTCCAAACACCAGTGTGCACGGCTCAGGGACCACCTCCGTGCTCTGGGGCCCCCCCTCCTGGGAATGAACGCCGCACCCTTCCCAGCGATGGCCTCCAGCCCATCCCAGCCCCACCCTGAGGTACCCCACACTGACACCCGGTTCCAGCAGAAAACACACTCAGAGGACTCTTGGGCTCAACTTTTCTCGTCTCCTCTATCCGCACGACACACCCTGTGTCCACAGATGGCACCACACTCACGTCCTTCTGCACACGCGGTGGAGTTCTCTCTGCCAGGCGCCAGAGGCGGGGGGCGGCGCGGGGCTGAGGAGGGACGCATGCGCAGACTGCGTGGACTCCGCCGGCCAGTCTTCAGAAAGGGCAGTTGCGTTGTGACGGCATATGAGGCGGTCACCATGGTCAGCACCGGGCCACCATGTGTGGACACGGCATGTTCCAAGGTCTTTGGACAGGGCACCACCAGCATCTGCCACACATGAGCCGCCTAAATCACCCGAGAGGAGGAGGAGGGAGGGTCCATACGAAGTGTGACCACCCACAGCTCGCTCTGGCCGAGCCCCCTGCACGTCCACACACAGGGTCTCACGCCCTGTGCCTGCTCGCAGGTAGCATCGCTCAGCCCAGGTCGCCTGTGGTTTTGTGTGCATCCGCCCAGGCAGCTTTGGTGCAGACACCTTAGCACCCCTTACACGCTCAAAGGTCCCACATACACACTCCAAGGCCACCCACCCTCACACTCGAGTGTCACTGTCGGTGACTGACCTGGTGACGGACGAAGTTCTGGGTGTGAGCGGTGGGAGGACCGGCAGCTTCCCCATGGGGGAGCATGGACCTTCCCTCCTCCGCGCCACTCCGCTCGCCCTCACAGTGCGCCGCCTCGCGCCCACGTGACCTCTCTCAATCAGGACCAACCACCTGGGCCAGGCCCAGAATTCCCAGGCAAGGGGGCTGCGCCTGCCTTTGCCCCCAAGGGTTACAGCCCAGCTGGGCCTGCGCGGCATCTCCCCAAGTAGTCCCAGGTGTGCGGGTCCTCAGGCCTGTGGTCACAGCCGCAGGCTCACCGCAACCGCCCACCCTCACCAGCCTGCCTCCCGGGGTCCTGGGGCTGCCCTTTCTTCTGCCCCGCGGCTGCCGGCTGCCTGGCCCACAACTCGCCACACAGCCGGCTCTCCCTGAACTACAGGGTGGAGGGGATGGACCATTCTGGAAAGGGGAGCCCTCCACCCCCTGACAGGCTCTGAGCCTTGCCCCCATTATTCAATTTCAAGAGGCAGGAACCCAACTGAAACAAGAAAGGGTGTTTATTGGTTCATGTACCTAAGTGTCCAAGTCATCATTCCAACTTCGGGCGCAGCTGCTGGATCCCCGGAGCCTGAGAGGACGGGCAGGTGTCCAGTCTCTTTGGGCTCCGCTGCCTGCAGCGTTGCCTCCATTCGCCCACGGGAGCGATGGCCGTGGACACCCCCAGGACGCCGGCTGACCCAACACGAAGACAGACCCTCTCCCAGAGAGGAGAAATCAAATCTCGGAGAAAACGGATTGGCCTGGGCACACACTCACACTGACTGACCCTCGTGAATGGCCGTGGCTGGGGAGTAGGGTCTCTGATTAGCCAGGCCTGGGCCAGGAGCCCACTCCCACCCGGGAGGAGGCGCCAGAATATCCCAGAATGCGTTTTCCTAAGCCGAGAGGGCAGAGGGGAGGAAGCACTGGGCACGCCCAGAGCAGGGGACCCTGCCCTGTTACCTTGACACCTCACAGCCCCAGCCACTAGCTCTCAGTCTGAATGATGATACCGACACCATGCGGGGGGGCGGGGGGGTGGAAACTTACTACAGGGTGAGCTGGTGCAGGGGCTGCAGGGGCCACAGGGGCCCGGGCAGGGGAGGCCGAGGGAATGCCGACCAGGGCCCAAGGTAGAAGGTGGAGGAGTCCAACCCAGCCTATAGCAGGGCCTAAGGACATCAGACTCCCGGAGACACCACCTTGAACCTGGCCTGGCTCTTTCGCAGGGTGGCCTTCCGCAGCCGGCTGGGGAGGGCCTGGGGTCAGGGAGGCCCAGCTGCAGTGCTGGCTGGGAGGGGCCCCTGGCCAGCTGCGGGGAGTTGGCCAAACTATACCCTGAGGGCACTGCGACTCAGGACAATGAGATTCTCACAAGGAACACACCCATCCGTAGACTGGTTGCCACACAGCGTCATTCCTGAAAAGGAACATATATTTGGGCCAAGGCCAAGGTGCAGGCCTGTGATGTCAGGCCTGGGGCAGGCCTGTGATGTCAGGCCCAGGCGTTGAGTCCCCAGGGGCTATTCGCTGCTGGGCTCCTTCGTCTCCTCCTCCCCCCCAGCTCTGCCCTCCCTGGACTGGCCCTGCGTGTCCCAGCCACCCCCGCCAGACGGGTGCCCAGGGTCAGGTCCAAGCTGGTTCCTCGTCGTGTGGTGGAACCATGGGGTTGAGGAGGGGACAATGGGCAAGAACGTTCAGGTCACCACAGCTTTGAAGACAGTAAGTGCTGAGTTCCAGACCCCAAAGCCCCCAGGCAGCACCCGCACCCCAGGGTCCCGTGGACCCTGAGAGCCTGGGCTCTGCAGACAGGGAGCCTGGGAGCCCCTGAGCAGCAGGGACGCCTGTGCAAGAGGGCTGGGTGCTGGGACCCA